ACAATTCAGGAAAGGAAAGTTATTTTGGTAACAGTGAATTAGAGAGATAAAAAGATTGAGGGTGTCAGTCTGCATGGGCAAGCAAATATTACCGGGATCCAGGGCTTTTCTTTGGGTGGGAACATTGGGGAAGGCTGTTCCAGCACTTCTGGCACTGAATGTACACTGCCTTGAAAAAGTCTTCCTACCCTTGAAATGTCTCCCACATTGTCATGATACAACCAAAACCGTCAATGTATTTTATTGGGATTGGATGTGATGGACCAATACAAAGTGGCGCATAATTGTGAAGTGGAAGGAAAATGAGAAATGGTTTTCAAACTATTTTACAAATAAATATCTGAAAAGTGTGTTGAGCATTTGTATTCAGCCCCCTTTACTCTGATACCCCTAACCAAGGGCGGACTGACCATTCAAGCACTCAGGCACTGCCCGAGGGCCCGGGGTCAGTAGGGGGCCCCATGAAATGCCCCTGGTACCTTTTATAGGCTTTTTTGGGTGTGCTTTGAGTGTAGGCAAGGACACAGGGGCCCCATGATCCCCTATTGCCCGGGGGCCCCATGAGTTGTCTGCCTGCTCCTGCCCCTAACTAAAATCTAGTGGAACCAATTGCCTTCAGAAGTCACCTAATTAGTAAATAGAGTATCCCTGTGTATCATTTAATCTCAGTATAAATCCAGCTGTTCTATGAAGACCTCAGAGGTTTGTTAGAGAACATTAGTGAACAAACAGCATCATGAAGGCAAAGGAACACACCAGTCTGGTCAGGGATAAAGTTGTGGAGAGTTTTAAAGCAGGGTGAGGTTATAAATGAATCTCCCAAGCTTTGACCATCTCACGGAGCACTGTTCAATCCATCATCCGAACATGGGAAGAGTACGGCACAACTGCCAACCTACCAAGACATGGCCGTCCACCTAAACTGACAGGCCGGGCAAGGAGAGCATTCATCAGAGAAGCAGCCAAGAGGCCCATGGGAACTCTGGAGGAGCTGCAGAGATCACAGCTCAGGGGGGGAATCTGTCCTCAGGACAACTATTAGTCGTCACTCCACAAATCTGGCCTTTATGGAAGAGTAACAAGAAGGAAGCCATTGTTGGAGGAAAGCCATAAGAAGTCCCGTTTTGTAAGAAGCCATGTGGGGGACACAGCAAACATGTGGAAGAAGGGGCTCTGGTCAGAGGAGGCCAAAATGGGACTTTACGGCCTAAAAGCAAAACGCTATTTGTGGCAGAAAACTAACACTGCACATAACCCTCTCTAAAAATCTGGAGATTTTTTCATTTTTCACTTAACAACATTCAGAGTTTGTAAAAGACCCCCCCCCCCGTCCTCAAACCATGTATTTTCTGAAAGCACGTGCCCAGTAGAATAAAAAAAGGTGCTACTGATTTTTTTTTAGGCCTGCCATAGTTACGCAAATGTTTATCAAATTGATATTTTCACAAAAAAACCCACTAAAATCCTTACTTGCACACAAAACTGAAACATAACTTACAAAATTCCTGAAAAATTCCTACTAAGGAATCGTTCAATGGGGTGTGCCGAAGCGTACGCCCATGGTGGGCCGTGTTTAACTGCACGGGGATGCACAGGTGTTCATGCATCCATGCACAGTCAGTCCTATTCATATCAACTGGGACGCAGATGCTGCAAGGACAGATCTGACATCGGTGCGGGTGTAGGTGCATGGCCCCAAATACAGACAGTCTGAGTTCAGGGACACGCCCACATGAATGTCACGCTGGGAGCAGTGGCTGTGTCGAAGCAGCCGTTGTGTCCCAATTGATATGGATGGGATTGTCTGCATGGAAATGCACAGAACACCTGTGCAGGACAATGACTCAAAGCACACGTCAAAAAGCCCCAGAAATGGTTTCAGACAAAGCGCTGGAGAGGACTGAACTGAACAGCAATGAGTCCAGATCTCCATCCCATAGAGCTCCTGTGGAGAGATCTCAGACCAGCAGCTGGGAAAAGGAACCTTCCAATCTGAGAGACCCGGAGCAGTTGGAGAAAGAAGAGCGATCCAAAATTCCAGTAGAAAGATGGAAGAAACTCATTGATGGTTACAGGAAGCCATGGATTTCAGTGATTTCTTTTTTCCAAGGAGTGTGCCACCAAATATTACATGGAGGGTGCCAATAATTTTGTCCAGTTCATTTTTGGGGTTTTGTGTGGAATGGGTCAGATTTGGCTTTTTGTTTCTCCACTTTTTTGTGTCATATCAATACAAACCAAAGAAATAAACATGAGAATGCCAAAACATTTGTAATTGCAGCAATTTTCTGGGTTAAGCGGTGCGTTATCTGACAGAAATGCAGGGGGGGCAAGATTTTTGGCCATGACTGCATCTCAGTGTGGATATTGAGATTTACACTCCGGTCCTGGAGGACATTTTGGGTTTGTTTTACATTGCCGTGCACCAGGAGGAACCCAGGACCCACTGCACCAGGAGGAACCCAGGACCCACTGCACCAGGAGGAACCCAGGACCCACTGCACCAGGAGGAACCCAGGACCCACTGCACCAGGAGGAACACAGGACCCACTGCACCAGGAGGAACCCAGGACCCACAGCACCAGGAGGAACCCAGGACCCACTGCACCAGGAGGAACCCAGGGACCCACTGCACCAGGAGGAACCCAGGACCCACTGCACCAGCGTAGGGTCTGACAATGGGTCCAAGGATTTTTATTCCGATACCTAATGGCAGTCAGGGTACCATTGTCTAGCCTGTAGAGGTCTGTGCGTTCCTCCATGGATATGCCTCCCTAGACCATCACTGACCCACCACCACAACGGTCATACTGAACCATGTTACAGGCAGCAGAACATTCTCCACGGCTTCTCCAGACCCTTTTTTTGGTGATAAATGGCAAATGCCAATCCAGCTCTATGGTGCTGGGCAGTGAGAACAGGGCCCACTAAAGGACGTTAGGCCCTCAGGCCACCCTCATGAAGTCTGTTTCTGATTGTTTGGTCGGAGACATTCACACCAGTGGCCTGCAGGAGGTCATTTTGTAGGGCTCTGGCAGGGCTCATCCTGTCCCTCCTTGCACAAAGGAGCAGATACCGGTCCTGCTGATGGGTTAAGGACCTTCTACGGCCCTGTCCAGCTCTCCTAGAGTAACTGCCTGTCTCCTGGAATCTCCTTCATGCTCTTGTCTCCTGGAATCTCCTCCATGCTCTCGTCTCCTGGAATCTCCTCCATGGTATTGATCTCATGCTACCAGCCTCATGCTACCAGTAGTGGCGCTGATCCGAGCCAAATGCAAAATGAGTGAAAAAAAGTCAGAAAAGAAGAGTAGGGAAAAAAATGTCAGTGGCCTCCACCTGTAAAATCATTCCTGTTTTGGGGGTCATCTCATTGTTGCCCATCTAGTGCACCTGTTGTTAATTTCACTTACCCCAAAGCAGCTGAAACTGATGAACAACCCCCTCTGTTACTTACTTGATCAGATCAATATCCCAGGAGTGTCATTGACTTTGATGCCAGACTCGGATTACAAAGTCTGCCTTTCATTTTTTTGAGCCGTGTAGATTAAGGAGCGGTGGGCGTGACTCCAATAGAATTTGTATTCCAATAGATGGGGAATTAACTCGATGAAGCAAGCTCCTTTATGGCTATAATATATTGGAGATGAGGTATTAGCAGTGTCGTTGTCCACAAGGACACATGTGCTGCAGAAGTAGTCCTACGTTCAGAACAATGGGGGGGGGGGGGGCACATACACGGAAGGCCGCGGTAATTGGGCTAAGAAGTCCGTGTTGCAGGTGGTAAACTGTGATGCAAAATGTTCTGCACTGATATAGCTGAGAACAAAACTGGAAATCTGGCAACTGAGGACAGTTTGGGTTGTGGAAGCCTCTCACCAAGTCTGCAGTCTGGGAGGAGTGAAGAATGGTCTCTTGGTTGGGGGCCCCCCCTTGTCCTCTTGGTCCTTCAGAGAACAGAATGATACCGGGCACGATTCCACAATCTGTCGGCCTGCAGGGTTAGCTCTCCTGCTAGCAGCACCGGCCATCTGTAGTCCTTCCGATGCAACCCGATCTGGTCTGGGCCTGCCGAGCCCAGCAAGCCCTACCAGCGTCCAGCACACATCCTCCCTCTCACACAGTCTCTCTCTTCTCCCTCAGGAAGTCCCTGAGCTTTCAGTTATAAAGGTTCCTCCCCTTCTCCAGCTCCTCGGGGAAATGTAGTCTGCTTTCGATATGTCCAGGCATAACAGTCCTGCCTCCAGCATACATGTTCAATAATACCTTGCTTGGGCTGCACAGTGGCTAAATGGTTAGCACTTCCACCTGGCAGTACTAGGGTTGTTGGTTCGAATCCTCCTGCCTGGAGTTCGCATGTTCTCCCTGTGCCTGTGTGGGTTTCCTCCAGGTACTCCGGTTTCCTTCCACACTCCAAAGACATGCTGGTAGGTTAATTGGCTCCTGTCTAAATTGGCCCTAGTATGTGTATGTATGAATGTGAGTTAGGGACCTTAGATTGTACGCTCCTCAGGGGCGGGAACTGATGTGAATGTACAATATATATGTAAAGCGCTGCGTAAATTGATGACGCTTTATAAGTACCTGAAATAAATAAATAAACTCAAGTGATAGCTAAACTGTGGAACACCCCCAACTTGTGGTTAATCAACATCCTGCAAACAGTAACAGTGCCGAGTGTGTTACACATACAACCAAAAAAGTCAAAGAAATAGGTGATAATAAAAACAAATACAGGTTTTATTTATTTACTTATATAGCAACACCAATGTATGCAGCGCTTTACATATACACTATATTGCCAAAAGTATTGTCCCCATACTCCAATCATGTATTCAGGCTTTCCCCTCATGTGATTCTGGTGCTCCAATCCCCTCCATATTGTGATTCAGCCAATCCCCTCCCAAGTATTGTGTTCCAATCCCTCCATATCACTCCAATCCCCTCCATATCATGTGATTCAGGTGCCAATCCCCTCCATATCCCCAATCCCCTCCCATCATGTGATTCTGGTGCTCCAATCCCCTCCCTATCATGTGATGCCGGTCTTCCAATCCCCTCCATGGACACAGGTGTATACAATCAAGCCCCTAGGCATGCAGACGGCTTCTACAAACATTGGTGAAAGAATGGGTCGCTCTCAGGAGCTCAGTGACTCCAAGCGTGGTCCCGTGATAGGTGGCCACCTGGGCAATAAGTCCATCCGTGACATTTCCTGGCTACTAAATATTCCACGCTCAACTGTTAGTGGGATTATAACAACGTGGAAGCAACTGGGAACAACAGCCACTCAGCCACCAAGTGGTAGGCCACGTCACATGACAGGGCGGGGTCAGCGCATGCTGAAGCGCACAGTGCGCAGAAGTCACCAACTGTCTGCAGAGTCAATAGCTAAAGACCTCCAAACTTGGTGTGGCCTTCAGGATGAGCCCAACAACAGTGCGTAGAGAGCTTCATGGAATGGGTTTCCATGGCTGAGCAGCTGCATCCAAGCCTTCCATCACCAAGTGCAATGCAAAGCGGCGGATGCCGTGGTGTAAAGCACGCCGCCACTGGACTCTAGAGCAGTGGAGGCATGTTCTCTGGAGTGACCAATCACGCTTCTCTGTCTGGCCATCCGATGGATGTGTCTGGGTTTGGCTGTTGCCAGGAGAATGGTACTTGCCTGACTGCATTGCACCAAGTGTAAAGTTTGGTGGAGGGGGAAAATGGTGTGGGGTTATTTTTCAGAGGTTGGGCTTGGCCCCCTAGTTCCAGAGAAGCGAACTCTTAAGGTGACATTTTGGACAATTTCACGCTCCCAACTTTGTGGGAAGAGTTTGGGATGGCCCCTTCCTGTTTCAACATGACTGCCCACCAGTGCACAAAGCAAGGTCCATAAAGACATGGAGGAGCCAGTTTGGGGTGGAGGAACTTGACTGTCCTGCACAGAGTCCTGACCTCAACCCATAGAACACCTTTGGGATGAATTAGAGCGGAGACTGCGAGCCAGGCCTCCTCCCCCGACATCAGTGCCTGACCTGACAAATGTGCTTCTGGAAGAATGGTCCAACCTTCCCATAGACACCCTCCTAAACCTTGTGGACGGCCTTCCCAGAAGAGTTGAAGCTGTTATAGGTGCAAAGGGCGGGGCCAACTCAATATTGAACCCTACGGACTAAGACTGGGAGGTCATTACAGTTCAGGCGTAATACTTTTGGCAATAGTGTATGTGTGTATATATGTATGTAATACACTCCAGAGGTTTTTATAGCTTCCTTGCTTTTACCGCAAAGAACCTTAAAAGACGCAAAGCAGAACAACTAGATACCAAGAAGTAAATGAAGAAGTGTTTAAAAAAAAAGTGTAAAACAAGTGTAGCGCTACTGTCATAAGGGCTGCTGGATTTGGTTTGGGTTTTCCTATGCTCTGCACAGTCAGGCAACAAGCATTTTGCACACTTGTACCTTCAGAGTCAGTAAGCAGTCCTTGAGCTGTTTTTTTTTTAGAGGTATATGGGATGCCTAAATAACTGTAGAAAAATGTAGAGAAGCAAAAATATAGCACTGTTCCTTTACAGAGAACTGTAGTCCCTTTCTTGTGTACCTCCTCAGACCCCGGATGAATCTTCCTCTCCAACCAACTGTACTGAGGGTATCCCTGAGCAAGAAGTCCCAGAAGCTAGCAGTTAAGCAGTCCTAGGTGAAGACTAGTTGGGTATGGCACCAGACTGCCCCCTCCCCTTATCTGGCCCTGGGAGTGTAGGAGTCCTCACACTGTCCTGTCCTGTCAGCATGGTGGGTTGGTAGCTGCTTTCAGGCCTTTCACTGGGCTGGCTCCTTCCCTGCTGCTCAGGATGTCCTCCCTGTGGGACTTAGGGCAGTGGAGATCCTCCTGTCCAGCAACCAGGCTGTAGGTAGGCTCCCCCCTCTGGGGCCCCCTCCCAGGCTCCATACTTCAGCCTTTCTCTCATTCCATCTTCCACCCAACTCCCTTCTCTTCCCAGGCTCTGTCATATTTGAGGGTTGCCCTGGTCACCATGCCCAGCCTCTTGCTAGTGAATTGGTGAAGATCCCTCAAACATGCAGATATGGGCCTCCTACCCTATTCCACCCCTCAGAAAGTTCTCCAGTTTCTGGAAAGGTGGGAGGGCTCCAAAGTCCTGACCTGTAGAACCTCCCAGCCTGCCTGAGGTGAACTCACTGCTTCACTCCTAGGCTGACTCATCTCAGGCTGCTACTCGCTAAAAAAAAACAAAACAAAACCTGAGTAACCTAGAGGGCGTTACACAGGTAAGTCTAATCTCCCTTCCTATCTATTTCCTAATACTAGCAGCCTAAGGAATACGCAGTTCATGTGGATTGACAGAGTTTAGTTCTGCTTTAACCAGTTCCCTACCACGCTATAGCCAAAGGACGGCTACAGTGCGGTTGTCTGGTTCTGGGACAACGTCCATGGACATCATTCCAGAACACACGCCCCCTGCGCGCTCCCAACAGCGCGCACCCGATACAGCTGGTGATCGCTGTGTCCTGCGGATACCATAAATGGCCAATCACGGCGGCCTTTTACCACATGATCAGCTGTGTCCAATGACACAGCAGATCACCAGGTTTATACAGTTGCCGGTTATCGGCTGCACTGTCACAGTGTGAGGAAAGTACTGCCAATAGCCGACAATTGTCAGAAAAGTGATCGGCACTGATCATCAGTGCCCAACAGTGCCACCCACCTGTACCCATCAGTGCCGCCCACCTGTACTCATTAGTGCCACCCACCTGTGCCCTGCCGTGCCACTCAGCAGTGCTGCCCAACAGTGCCACCCAGCATTGCTGCCCATCAGTGCCGCCCATCAGTGCAGCATCATCAGTGCCAGCTTATCAGTGCCGCCTATCAATGTCATCTATCAGTGCCTCCTATCAGAGCCCATCAGTGCTGCCTATCCGTGCCACCTCATCAGTGCACAACAGCGCTGCCTACCAGTGCCCATGAGTGCTGCCTATCAGTGCCCATCAGTGCTGCCTATCAGTGCCCATCAGTGCAGCCTCATCAACGCACATCAGTGAAGGAGAAAAATTCCCTGTGTGCAAAATTTTATAATAGAAAAAAAGAAAAACTTTTTTTTTCTAATTTTTTCCTCTTTTTATAGCACAAAAAATAAAACCCCCAGCAGCGAGTAATTACCACCAAACGAAAGCTGTATTTGTGTGAAAAAAATGATAACAATTTCATATGGGTACAGTGTTGCATGACTGCACAACTGTCATTCAAAGCGTGATAGCGCTGAAAGCTGAAAATTGGCCTGGACAGGAAGGGGGTGACAGTGCCCGGTAGGCAGGAAGAGGGTAGAAGTGTCCGGTAGGCAGGAAGGGGGTAGAAGTGCCCGGTAGGCAGGAAGGGGGTAGAAGTGTCCTGTAGGCAGGAAGAGGGTAGAAGTGTCCGGTAGGCAGGAAGGGGGTAGAAGTGCCCGGTAGGCAGGAAGAGGGTAGAAGTGCCCGGTAGGCAGGAAGAGGGTAGAAGTGTCCGGTAGGCAGGAAGGGGGTAGAAGTGCCCTGTAGGCAGGAAGGGGGTAGAAGTGCCCGGTAGGCAGGAAGGGGGTAGAAGTGTCCGGTAGGCAGGAAGGAAGGGGTAGAAGTGTCCCGGTAGGCAGGAAGGGGGTAGAAGTGCCCGGTAGGCAGGAAAGGGGTAGAAGTGCCCGGTGGGCAGGAAGGGAGTAGAAGTGCCCGGTAGGCAGGAAGGGGGTAGAAGTGTCCTGTAGGCAGGAAGGGGGTAGAAGTGTCCTGTAGGCAGGAAGGGGGTAGGTGTCAGGAGGAAGGGGGTAGAAGTGCCTGGAGGGCAGGAGGAAGGGGGTGCCCAGGCAGAAGGGGTAGAAGTGCCCGGGCAGGAAGGGGGGTAGAAGTGCCTGGAGGGCAGGAAGGGGGTAGAAGTGCTCTGTAGGCAGGAAGGGGGTAGAAGTGTCCGGTAGGCAGGAAGGGGGTAGAAGTGCCCTGTAGGCATGAAGGGGGTAGAAGTGTCCGGTAGGCAGGAAGGGGGTAGAAGTGTCCGGTAGGCAGGAAGGGGGTAGAAGTGCCCGGTACGTAGGAAGGGGGTAGAAGTGCCCAGCAGGCAGGAAGGGGGTAGAAGTGCCCGGTAGGCAGGAAGGGGGGTAGAAGTGCCCGGTAGGCAGGAAGGGGGTAGAAGTGCCCGGTGGACAGGAAGGGGGTAGAAGTGTCCTGTAGGCAGGAAGGGGGTAGAAGTGTCCTGTAGGCAGGAAGGGGGTAGAAGTGCCTGGTAGGCAGGAAGGGGGTAGAAGTGTGCCTGGTAGGCAGGAAGGGGGTAGAAGTGCCCGGTAGGCAGAAGGGGGTAGAAGTGCCCGGTAGGCAGGAAGGGGGTAGAAGTGCCCAGTAGGCAGGAAGAGGGTAGAAGTGCTGGTAGGGGAGGGGTTAATCAACCATTGCAATTTAAAACACGTGCAGCAGGTAGATACACCCATGGCGAATGTTTGGCGAATGTCACACTGGTTGCTTTATAAATACCACTCGAATATTGTGTGCCGACTGAACTAGTATTTAGCTGCCTAGAGCTGCCTTTAAGATAAAAGTCATTTGCAGGGAACTGTTACGTTTTGCTACTAAGAACCACAATGGCAGCTTATTAATCAAATTACATTGGCGGTAAAACAGGGGTTATTAGGACCCATATGGAGCCACTGAGAAGTAGAACGAAGGCAGAACCTCAGGATTTCTGCTGGGAATAAAGCCAATTTAGGAATATGCCAAGCTATACATAATCTTTACAGATCATAAATATTTAAGGTGCTGCACCACGTCCATACGCCCGATGGGACATGTCAAGCTCTGTTATTCTTTGAGTATTTTGCATGTTCTGACTCCTCTAATATACTCGGAGCTGTCAGCGGTAAAGACACCGGGAAGGAGGGGGGCGGTTCACTTGCCTATTCCGTAGAGCACTCCAAGCTGTTCAGTATAGCCGAAGCAATAAAAAAATAAATTATAATTATAGCGAAGGACTAGCATGATTGGGAAACGGGGAAATCAAGGAGAGATGGGGTTCACTC